CTAGTGCTAGTGCTAGTGCTACTGCTAGTACTAGTACTGGTGCTAGTGCTGGTACTAGTACTAGTAGTACTAGTACTACTAGTACTAGTACTACTAGTACTACTAGCACTACTACTACTAGTACTACTAGTACTAGTACTAGTACTAGTACTACTACTACTACGACTACTACTACTACTACTACTACTACTACCACCACCACCACCAGCACCACCACCTCTGTTGCTACGGCGACGATTGTTTTTATTCGTATTATTCCTGTTGTACTACCACCACCACCACCACCTCTGTTGCTACGGCGACGATTGTTTTTATTCGTATTATTCCTGTTGTTTTCATGATTGTCATCATTATTCCTCTTCTTCTTCTTCTTGTTTCATATTGTTACTGCTCTCCTGTTTTTGCCTTTACTGTTGCTATTTTGTTATCAATCAGTCTTACTCTTATATGTTTTCTTGCTGTCTTACTCTTATATGTATTCTTGTTGTGATTATCATTACTATAGCTATTACCCTAAACCCAAAACCCTAAACCCTTAGATCATTGTTCTTATTATTGTTATTGCTCGTAATATGCATATTATTTATTACTATTAATTATTATCGTTATTACCATGATTCACATTATTTCTATTGTTGCTATTGGTTTATAAGGGTTTAGTGTTTAGCCCTGAAGCCTTAAACCGCTCCAAAGAAGTCTTGAGCCTTCCGCGTGGAGCCCTCCTGGCAGGACTTGTCCATCGTGCCCCACTACAGTGCGCCTGAAGCCCCGACATTGCGGGTTTGGGTTTAGGGTTTAGGGTTTAGGGTTTCGGGTTCAGGGTTTAGGGTTCAGGGTTCAAGGTCCAGGGTTCAGGGTTCAAGGTCCAGGGTTCAGGGTCCAGAGTTTAGGGTTCAGGGACCCATCATGTTATTCCTAGCAGGGTCTCGGACCGAGATGCGGCAAAGGCCGGTTTGCTCTAGTGACGCTTTAGGTGGAGTGCTTGCGTTCAGCTCGGGGACCAAAAGGGAGTTGGTTTAGGCCAGTCGGCCACTCAATTGGACAGGACATTACTAGACATGGATGTGTCCACAACATTTGGGTGCCTTGTTTCATAATCAGGTCGCAAGACCTAAGGCCTAAGGCGAACATTGCCTCAGGGTGAAGACGAGGATCCAAGATGTCCGCAGATTCGAAGGGGTACCAGCACTTCAGCCCCGACGTCAACTCGCAGACTTCGACGAGCAATGTCTCATCTTCCACTGCTGAGTTTGTGGCAAGTCACCCGAACCCCCAACCCTAAAACCTTAAGCCTAAACCCTCAACCCTCAGCCCCAAGGAACGATTCGCACAAAGACCCGGCCCTATATAATCCCTATATAAACCCTACATAAACTCTATATAAACCCTAAGCTTGCTGGGCCGTCCTGCCTTGAGGTGGGATCCCGGTGAGAAGGTGGATCCCGTCGCAGACGAGGCCCAAGCCCTTCAGCTTGGATGTCGAGCCTCAGGTTGAGGGGTTAGTGCTTATGGCTTAGGGCTTCAGGGCTTTAGGGCTTTAGGGCTTAAGGGCTTCAGTTTTAGGGCTTTAGGGTTTAAGGGCTTCAGTGGTTCAGGGCTTTAAGGGCTTCAGTGGTTTGGGGCTTTAGGGTTTAAGCGCTTCAGTGGTTTAGGGCCTGAGGGTTTAAGGGCTTCAGTCGTTTGGGGCTTTAGGCTTTAAGGGCTTCAGTGGTTTTGGGGTTAGGGTTCAGGGCTTCAGG